GGGAGGGTAGAGAAACAGGATAGAAGAGGTCAATGAGGAAAAAGGGGGGCATATGTAATACTTTCAACAACAACAACAAAAGAATAAATGTCTAAACCTTAGTTTCCTTAACTACATAGGAAGAAGATAAAAAAAGCACTGACTTATAGAGCTGTTCTGAGGATCAATGATATAATGTAGTGCCAAGTAGACAATACTTAAAAAAAGATTGAAATCATTGTAATTATTATGTTCCAAAGCCTATATATCTAATTCATTATTAATACTTTCCAGTTGGGCAGTGTTTCATCTAAAAGAAAAGCCCTAGATCCAAGTTTTAATAAAGTAGGATTTATCATGTTTTCAATCCTTTGGCTCATATCCTCAATAGCTCAAAAGAGAAATATGTTATTAAAAAATAACCTGCCAAATTATCCTAAATTATATTTTCATTTTCTAAATAGTTGTCCTCAATTTTGGTTTTTGCTTGCAGAATAAATTACATAAAATATATGATATAGGGGATAAAGTAAGGTAATAAAAGAATAATTAGTGCTGAATTCCTTTGGAAACCCTGCTCCTACAGTCCTTGAAATATATCCCTTTTGATTTCTGATAGGTATTGACCCCAGGTAAAGCTTCCCACATTGCCTCGTCATATGCCAAATCTTTAAATTAATGAATTAGTGTCTGAGAGAAAAATATTTACTTGGGAGAAAATTGTCATCAGTCAATACTGCTGAATTAGAACAAATGCCATTTTTTTTTTTTTTTTTTGGTCACATACCAGCTGGCTTGTCCAGAAGGCTAATTATATATCTTTTCGCAAGGACTCCAAGTGACCCCATTTTGTGTCAACAGAAAAACATAAAACATTTCTCCCTTTCACTTAAATATGTAATATGAACCTGGAAAATGTTTATCAGCTGAACCATGTAATTTATACCCCCATACTAGGGTTGTGATAATCCTAAAAGCAATTCACACCCTGAGAAATGTTTTAATTTATACAAGTGAGTGGAAGAAGGTATAGTCTTTCCCAAAATCGGATACCGCACCCAAAATGCCACTTAATTACTTCATGGAATATACTTCATGCACATCTATTGCATGTCTAGGAATAGTACCTGTGTGCACAGTCAAATGCACTTAGCAGCCCCAGAGAAGGGTATTTGCAACTGGGGCCACATGCCACATGAGGATCTCACTTGAGTGGACAATGGTTTGGGTTCTAATACATACAGTCATCCCAGTTCATCCTCACAGCCCCGCTCTGGGTGTGTAAACCTAGGCAATCCCCTGTGAAGCCAGAGTTCCAGTGATCCCTTACTTTGTGAGAGGGATTAACATAGAAAATACACCCTCTTCTTTTAGTACCTCCAGGCTAGTCTCTTACAGAAATGGACAGAGGAGTTTCACTAGAGTGAATCAGCTTCCACTCACCAAATGCCCTTGGTTTCCCACATGCTTCCCCAGGCCTGTTGCCCCAGCCTTGCTCATGGGCCAGGACATGTGCATGGAAAGTGGTGCTCTCAGCATTAACTGATTTGCTCTCAAGTCTCCTGATTCTCTCCTAGATCGCTCACAGTTTGCACTTTGTATGTTGAGATGTCCATTGTTACATAAAAGGTATTTTCAGGCTTAATATGGCCAGCTGTTCTGGACTAGTGTCATTTTAATATGCCATCCCCAGTCCATCATGTCAGACTAAACATGCAAATTGTTATTATTACCAAGAAAAATTATTTCCGCAGTTATTCAGTAAAGGAACATTTCAAAAAGACATATGATTGCAGCCAACTTTGAAAATCCCAAATCAGCCTAGAATGATATAAAAGTTATTTGGATAAATTTAAAGGAAACTTTTTTTTGTAAAGCACTGGGTTTTAAAATAATGGCTGGCAGTTTATCTCTATTTGATAGGTATCAAATACACACACTTTTCCAGTTAGGATTTGTGTGCGTGTGTGTGTGTGTGTGTGTGTGTGTGTGTGTGTGTAGATTAAATAATCTAAGACCAGAAAGTTAAGTCACTCCAAACTAATCTTGAAAAAGTTAATGTTAAATTTAAGTCACCCAAAATATTTTACAAAGTTATCCCTATTTTAAAGCACTTAATTAACATATTTCTTAGCAGTAAATGTTGTTTTCTTATTAGTTTTCTGCCTACTTCTAAAATTCTGAAGGGAGCTTTTTGTTTGTTATTTGAAATCATTAACATTTTAAACATTGTAAATTACTATTCTTTCCTTAGCTTTCACATCCTCCATCTATACAGAATTTTCCAAACAGGAATATTTTTTCTAGATCAATGGAGGACAAAAGATAATTATTAACAAATAATTACTGCCATTTACTGAGGGCTAGCAATGGTGGGCTGCACTTGGTTGGTGCCAGGGGACTGTTAAATATTTAGAAATTTTACCAGGTGGCTGTTAAATCATTCATAGTTGGAAATTGGCCATGGTGGGAGGATTTATATCACACTACATATCAAGGCAAATCAAGGCCTTGTTTTTTTTTTTAAACAGCCAGTTTACATCACCCCATAGTGATTTGCCAAGTACCTTCCTGTTCCTTAAATGATCCTATGAGCTGGAGCACCTTTTATCCATTGATGAAAACGAACATCAGAGACCTTACAAAGCACGTCCACGGATACACAGCCAGTATGTGGTCACTACAGTGGGACTCCAGGCCTGTGGGACTCCTCGCTTGGGCTCTTGCCCTGCATTTGAATGAAGCCCTTCCTAGGTGTGCGTGTATGTGATCCTAAAATCACAAGGCAGATTTGTTTGTAGCTTAGTTATGATCTCTTCTATGTGTGAGTTAATACTCTTTTGGGTATGAGTAGAACAAATAATCAAGATGGTATGTGAGCAGGGGTTTCCACTCCTGGCCCTGGAAAGTTAAGAGCGCAGCTCCTGTACAACTGGGAAAGAATAGTTTCTTCTCATGTTAAAACAACTAAAAACCAAGTAAATAACAAGCAAATGTAAAGTGAATTGTGTTTGCTTGGAATAAATGGAAACTAAGATGCAAGCAAGACGTATGTGATGGGAGCAAGACCTCTCAGCAGTTGACCTGTAACAGTTTTCACTTTTCAGGCAAGGAGAGAAAATGTATTCTCTTATTTATTCAGTTATGGTTAACTATGAACACTAAGCACACACAACAGTGAAAACCACATGGCTCTGAGAAATTCTGCCATTTCAAAAAACATGCATGTTAAAGTGAAACGTGGCCTGCAGTTCGAGAAATATTTTGTCCCTTGCCCACATTCAGAAATGAAAGAACATGTTACAATTTTAAGCAGTTGCATAAAGAAAAAAATACCACCTTTAAATTTGCCATACATAAAAATATGATTATATTCAGAATATATATCTAAAGATAATCTAAGGAAAAATATTAGAAACCCTTGTTTTTAGACATCAATCATTTTTTATTTCTTAACTGAGAACAGGTCTCAAGTAATACAAATAAAACAAAATTTAGAACAATTAAAGAATCAAAAGTTTAACTACAGACATAATATGGCTCTAAATTAAAATGCATACTGTGTTGTATATGCAGCAAACATTTCAATGCTATGATGGGAATAGCAATTCTGTACTTTTTACCTGGACCAACATTACATAAAAACATCATCCACCTTCATCTTACTACCCCCTTTCTGTGGAATAAACACAGTTACCCTGGAATAAAGTGCCATGTATTTTAAGTCACGTGAGTTTCAATTAGCAGGTTAAAATTCTGGTGTAAAAAATAAATTGTTTGGACTGGAAAGGTAGCATTAATGAACTCTCAGGTCACATTCGCAGTTAATACTGTGATCTCTCTCTCTCTCTCTCTCTCTCTCTCTCTCTCTCTCTCTCTCTCTCTCTCTCTCCCCTGCCTGTGTTTTTATAGAAAGTGCAAATATATGAATACTCTAATGTAATATTCCTCCAGAAGTAGAAAAGTTCTGGTAAATTGTTCTCTTGATCAAGTTATCCTTAACTGGCTTGGTTTCGATGCATGTATCACACAATCTAAATGATCACATTTAAGACCACCTGCTGGATGTCTGAATTTTAGGTGTGGTATTCACTATGATACCTGCAAAAAAAGAAGAATTCTAGAGGACAGAGAGAATAAGCACACTCCCCATAGTTTTTGCACAGTTCTCGCCCCTGTTTGAGGCAGCAACCCTGATTTAATACCATTCATGCAATAGGAAATGATTGATTTATTATTCATTTTTTAAACCACAGCTTTTATTATTCTGACATGGCTTTAGTATTCTGACATTGCCTTATTTTTAACTGGAGCAAAAGGGGGTGAGGAATGACATAAATGCCAATGCAGAGCTTTAGTGTCTTAAACAAATTGTTTGCAGATCATCTCTACATCAAAGCTCTCATAAACCTCAGAATTACAATAGGCAAGATCAAACAACACTGGCTTACCTGTGAGATGCCTCACCTCCAAGGAAAAGCGTGAAATTTATGTAGTGACTTTTCAAAAAGCTTTATATCAACCGTGATATAATCAGTGTAATCTCTCCCTTTACATAGTGGACAATTATCTAAGAAATGGCATTATCCAAGAAATCATATTTCTAAAATACATCAAAGAACTCAAGGAATAAAAAAAAAGTGTGATCTGAGTATTCAGTTGTTAAAATAACCACTATTAATTACCCACTACTTGAAAGGTAGTGTATTATACTCTGGGGTATAAAAATGAATGAGGCATTAAATATCTCTCAAAACCTGTGCTCTGCATGTCATGCCCATTTGCTCATGAAAAAGACATGGGGCCCCTCCTTCAGTGCTATCTATACTTATTTTACACACAGGACTGACAGTCTTTTTTATTTTTTATTTTATGTCATTTTTTAATTGATTTTTAGAGAGGGAGAGGGAGAGAGAAATAGAAACATCAATGATAAGAGAGTATCATTGATCGGGCCACCTCCTGCATGCCCCCCATTGGGGATCGAGCCAGCAACCTGGGCATGTGTCCTGACAGGGAATCAAACCATGACCTCCTGGTTCATAGGTCAACACAACCACTGAGCCACACCAGCAGGGCAGGACTGGCAGTCTTAATGCTTTGGCTTCCTAAAGCTCATTGGATCTAAAGCAAAAACCGGAAGTTGGGAGAGAGCACTGGAGGCAGATATGCTCACAGAAGCCAAGACGATCGTTTCCAAGACAATGTTTCTAAATCTATCATGATAATTAATAACCTTTCCAATACTAGCCACCCGATACTTTCTAAACTCGCAGAGGAAACCTGTTCATTAGTAACAGCCATTAGTGAGTCATGCATCAGATATCAATAGAAATACAATGGAGAAAAAGTTTTTAAATGAGAAGGCATTTCAACCCTAATGCATTTCATCTAAAAACTCCATTGCACTTTTTACAGAAACACAAAATTCCTTTATTAATAGTAAAACAATTTCCAAATCAAGCATATCCTTTTATCTGAAGGATCTGCATGCTAAAACATTCCAATAAATCTCTTCAGGAAATTTTAACAGCAACAGTTAAATGCTTCCAAATATAACTTATTTTTCATAGGTATGAAGATGTACTTTTGAAGACATGATTCCATGCGAGAATACCACAGAGTGTTCGGACTGAATATTTGCACTCCGAAGTAAGCACAGGCATGTTTACCGACGCCCAGGCTCTTTCTGTGTGCGCGTGTTTTTGTTTGACACTAGCAGCCCTTTCTGAGTCCATTTCATCTTGGTGGACAGATGTCTCTTAATGAAAAGCAAAGTGCCGCTGTTACTTATCACTTATGGCTACAAATTATTAGTTGCCAGTGGCAACTAATCCACTAAAAGTAG